GTAATTAGTCCTGAACAGCGTCGTTTGCTTCATCTCTTCATCACACTTTTCTGTCCGTGTTTTTAGCCAGAATCACAGCAGGTGAGGTACCGGAGGGGGCGAGCGTTGCCAGGCGAGTGTTGCTGGGCAGCCAGTGACTCCATCAGGGGGCAAAGTGTACCTGCCTATAGGAATGATGTCTGTTAAGGGCACTTATGTACAACTGTGATACAGACAGATTTTACTAGAGCACATTTTGGGTCATATTTCAGCCAAAATTTGAATAAAAACAATTAGCAATTATTTTTGGATCAAGAAATTAAAGACCATGAAGTGCTTTTTTTGCATTGTGACATTATTTTCATGATAATTAACTCATTTTTCTTCCATATTTTCATTACGGTAATGTGTCTGGATGTTTGACTTGTCTTTTTCAGAATTCTTAGTGATTCACATTAGATTCTCATTACTTCAAAACATAGTTTACTGTAATGGATTAAATAAATTTTAATGGAAATAATTCTGCATAAATGTTTATGTTTATTAAAGTTTTGTACATAAATGTAAATAATATCTTTACTTTTTATCACATTACTTGTAATGAGAGAATTTGCAAGGAAAAATTTACTAAAATGTATATATAATCTATCTTTATCATATAATAAAATAATATAATATATAATTAATTTGAATTTGTGATTAATGTAATTTCAGTTAATATGAATTTGGAATGAGCTATATCAAATAAACAGTAATAAAAACAATAAAAATAATAATGTACTTTCTTATCACATGACTGTAATGAGAGAGAATATGTTAAATGTTATATCACACACACACACATACTAGTACAAAAAAAGTTCACGCGTTAATACGATATTCAATACAACATATTCATATACAAGTATATTCTCAGTGCTCTATAGGCGTCTGGTCTCAGATTCATTGCTGTTACTGTGTGGAAATCATTTTAATTCAGCACACGTTTAAACCTCATAATGCGCCGCAAAGCATGCTGCTGTTCGAGTTTTCAATTGAAATGCTCAGAAAACATCTGAATCACGGCGGGGGGGCTTTGCGGGATTGATTCATTTTTGTTTTGCCACTCATTCCGCTGGAACCTTGAAAAAAAAAAGGCAGTAGCTCATCATCCTGAAAGCTGAAAAACTTGGAGAGCTGAAGGAAGCTCAGTGTGTCATGCAGCTGAGAGGTGTGTTTGACAGTTTTCCCAGTGTTATGACCGTGGTTATGATTATATGTAATTGACTGTGGATGGAGTGTCACATTTAAGATGTCAGGTGCCAGCGCAGCCAGGCGCCACACTTGATCTGAACAGTTGTGTCTCCATATGCCAACCCGACTCAGTCATTCTCCAGCAGTCCCTGAGAAACAAGACTGGATTGACACGCACTGGAGAGCTGGATCATCTGAAGGATGTAGAATCATGCAGACTACATTTCTGCTACTATATATCGAATTGAATGAATTCTAGTTCTGAATACCACTTAAAGATTCTGTTTCTGTTCCACTATAGGATCATCAAAAGAAATTTGAAAATGCTGAAAGTTTTTCAGGTTTCCTGAACACTCCTCCTCCCTTCATTGGTTTGTCAAACAGATAGTCCCGCCCCCACACTCACATAATTGGTTGAATCAGTGTTGCTGATGTTGGGCTGGACAAGATTAACAGAGCAAATATTTTAACATTGCATAAATTAAATTACACATCACCTTTATCACCTTTTATAATTCTGAGGGTGAAAATAAGTTGGGCCTAATAATATACTAAACAAAAAAACACCATTTTTATTGTTTTAATATGTATTTTAAGAGCCATTCTGATGGATTCAGTGATTGAGTGAGTCATTTAACTGATTTAGACTCATAAATTATGGATTCGAGATTGATTTATTATGAAGAACCGGTTAATAAGTCATTTTTAACCTGTTTTCCGAACACTCCTCCTGTCTTCAGATTTTAGGAGAAACTATCTTAACATTGAACAAGTTACATCATCTTTAATGATTCCTTGAAGAGTTCTTTTAGTCATTTAAGGAAGCTGATAAAAAATTTGACCTCTATATACTAAACAAACAATAATGTATTTGGTAACATGTTTGTTTACATATTTTAAGAGCTGCTTAATGATTGAGTGAGTCATTCAGGAATCATGAGTCTTCTTTTGTTTCATATTTCATAAGAGTCATTTGTTTGTGAATCACTATACTGGTTGCGCTGTATGTTTGTTGTTGTGTGCAACCAGTGAGGGCAACGTAAAGGAAATATGTTTTGGCTATTTAGTGTCTATTTAGCATGCAGTTTTTTGTTGTTTGTCTGTTTTTCTCTTTTCTCACAACTTGGGTAAAATTAATGATTATTTGGCCTTTCTGCAGTTATCAAAGTATTTTAGTACACTCTAAAAAATGCTGGGTTAAATACAACCCAGTGCTGGGTATGATATGGACAAAACCAGCGATTGGGTTGTTTTGACCCAGCATTTGGGTTACTACCCAGAACATTGGGTTAAACATTTAACCCAACTGTTGGTTGAAAACAACCCAATCACTGGGTTTGCCCATATTTTACCCAGCACTGGGTTGTATTTAACCCAGCATTTTTTTTTGAGTGTATGACATTCTGTCCACATTAGCACAAGAATACTGATGTTCAAGAATCATTAATGGATCTGAAGATCATTAAAATCCTTGAGTTCCAGTGCTTTGTTTTGTCTTTTAACGCCTGCTTTGTTCAGACCAGATTGTGGAAGCTCTTTTTTTTCCTCTTTGCATGTGATGGGAAATTAAATACATAAAGTAAATAAAGTGAAATGAGAGGTGGAGAGATTGGTGTGGTGTGCGCGGGAATGAAAGCGATGCCGGATGAAATCACAGAGCCGTCAGCATCTGCGCTGGGAATGCTGTATGCTAATCGACCAATTAGAGCTTTCGGATTCAGCGGAGAGATGTAGCACAAAGCCCGGCCTGTCATTTAATCAACTTAATTCTAATTTAAAACCGACGGAGTGCAAGTGTTCTGTTCGCTTACGTTGAATAATCACGTGTTTGATTCGCTTTCACTAAAAGAAAAGCACATTTGTTTTAAAATTACATTACAGAAATAGGATTAAATCCCAGGCGTCTGAAACAAACCCCTGAATCCATTTGCCTCCGGGCAGATATTGTTGTCGAAATCTAAAAGCGCTCAACGTGCATGTGTCCGTACAGTGGCCGAGCGCGTCCAATCGTGGTGCAGTGGGCCGTATACAAAGAGGCAATTAATATCGAGCCGAGCACGGTGGCCTGCGACGTCCTATAATAACATGGTTAGACCAAAGGTTAATGTGTTGAATTCAATATGCATCCTCATTCGTTTCAATGAAGCTGTCCGACAAAAAAAAGAGGTAGTCTGTAATCAAAGGGCTCCTTGTGCAAAGTGAAATTAATTATAGGGGCCTTCATAAATTCAATGTCATGTCTTAATCTTCTGCTGGTCCCCTTCCCAACCGTTATCAGCTCGGCTGGAAGTGGGCCGCACGCTCGGGCCGATCTAATAAACGGCTGTGTGAGATGATAATTGTGAACGAGCTGTATGTCGGCGGAGATGTGAGTCCGCTCGGACCGGGCAACACTTTAGTCAAACGCCAGTGAAAATGATGGTGTTTATCAGCCCATCTCCCTCACGGTGAATATAGAGAGGACATTATGTGTTCTGGGAAGTGAACTACTGTGATATTTAATCCAGTCGAGCGGTCTGGTGTGCATCGCATGATCAAAATAACAGCAACCCCTTTGAAAACATGAATGCATGCATGTCTGAGATACAACGTCCGTATCAGCACCTACATGATGGACAAACTTTAAAGGAGTAGTTCAGCCAAACATTAATATTTGCTGAAAATGTACTCACACTCAGACCATCCGAGATATAGTTTGTTCATGCAAACAGATTTGAGAAATAGCATTGCATCACTTGTTCACCAGTGGATGCTCTGCAGTGAATGGGTGCCGTCAGAATGAGAGTCCAAACAGCTGAAAAAAACATCACAATAATCCACACCACTCCAGTCCATCAGTTAACATCTTGCGAAGCAAAAAGCTGCATGTTTGTAAGAAATACATTTATTATTAAGGCAAATGTATTATCAAACCGCTGCTTCCAGCTAAAATACAAGTCTGTAATATTGCTTCCTCCAGTGAAAAAGTCATCTGCTGTGAAAAATCTGATTATAAGACAAAACAGTCAAAAACAGTTCTAAACAGATATGTTAGTGGATTTTGATGTGAGAGGACAACAGAGAATGGACTTTTTCCTTGTAGGAAGCATTATTATGGATTATGGACTCATATTATAGCCGAGAAGTGATGGTTTAAAGTTGAAACATCTTAATAATGATTTTGTTTCTTACAAACATGCAGCTTTTTGCTTCGTAAGACATTAATTGATGGACTGGAGTGGTGTGGATTATTGTGATGTTTTTATCAGCTGTTTGGACTCTCATTGTGACGGCACCCATTCACTGCAGAGGATACACTGCTGAGCAAGTGATGGAATGCTACATATTTCAAATCTGTTCCCATGAAGAAACAAACTCACCAACATCTTGGATGGCCTGAGGGTGGGTAAATTAGCATTTTTGGCTGAAGTATTCCTTTAAACATCATAAATGTGTTTGTTTAGCATGCATTTTCCTGTTAATCTTCACAGTAAACAGATATGGCTCAGGTCAGTGTGAGTCTTTGGGATTTTTTAAGATGTTTTTGTTGGTACGTGCGTCTGATCAAGAGATGCATGATTTGAGGAATCATTCATGTCTAAATGGGTTTCACACTGTGGTTTAACACTTATGGTTTGGGTTTTTGTTCAGATCGCTTTGATTTGTGCACTTTAAGATTGAATTCTTGGAGGAAGCCGTCTGCACTGGTGAAGGGCAACACCATGATGAATTTGATCCAGAATATGTTGCTTGTTCATTGAAGTGGATGACAGTACTAACATGCTTTCTCTCTGGTCCTCTTTCTGCAGGCATACTTCCGACAGGGTGTTGCCCTTCAGTACCTGGGGCGCCATGCGGATGCCCTGGCCGCCTTCGCCTCGGGACTGGCGCAGGATCCCAAGAGCCTGCAGCTGCTGGTGGGAATGGTGGAGGCCGCCATGAAGTCCCCTCTAAGAGGTACACGGCATGTTTGTACAGGTTTTGGGGTCAAATTCCTGAAAACAGCCTCTTAAATATAATAAAGAGAATTTCATTAGTGAAAAAGGTACATGAATGGGCCATATATTGTCTTATTTGAAATCTAAAAATGCCAAAATCTGAGTAGGAAATGATGTTTAAAAATAATTTCAGATGAGTGAGAAATATAAACTGAAGATGCAACATGCTTTTTTGGGCTCTTCTGGTGTAGATTCATCTGCTGACTATAATGAGCATGATAATGGGGGTTTCAGTGTCTATAATGTGCTTTTTTGTGTGTTTTTTTTTCTTTCGGATCATATGTGACCTGCTCCCTTATTTTAGATAATTTTGCATTTTTATGCACTGAATGAAAGAGTAAAGTCTCAATTCTCTACTAGCGGAATTACAGTGTTTCTGTGCTTATTATAATTTTTGAAGCTTCCAAACTATTTGTAGATGTTTATTTGACAGAATTAGGAGATTGATCAGTATTTTAAAAATAGATAATTGATATACAGTGTGTGTGTGTGTGTGTGCGTGTGTGTATATATATATATATATATACTGTATGTGTCTGTGTAAAATATTTACATTTTATATATTTCAGAAAATATTTATATGTATATATTTTCTACATAACCTCAATAAATCAATATATCTACTAATATATATTTACTAATGTATATAATAATTATATATACTAATGTTTACTAATATATTGAAGATATTTATGTATATTTAATATATGTAATTAGTATTATAAACATTTTATATTTTACATTTTATAAATAATTCTCACTATTTCTACAATATTTCTCTAATTTTCACCATATCTAAAAGTCAAGGCTAAAATGTAGGAGTCAGTTTTCAGTCTTTTTCACCCAATGTCAACACTACACGTTTTGAAACATCAGACCATGAACCAGAATAGCAGCAGAAATCCAGCGCTTGCAGTGAATGATGCCACATAGCCTTAGAAAGTGTCCACTGACACTGAGTTTGTCCAGCTGTCTGTGGCGGGACGGTCTGTGTGTGTTTATGCGCACGTGTGTGTCTGTATACCACATCCTCTGACGGGCCGCTAGCTGTAGGTGTTTGAGAAATGCTTTCGGGACGCTCGGATGTAAATCGCAGTCTCAGAATAAACAGGGTCATGCAAACAGCCGTTGCTCTGGGAGGACGTCCAAATGGGGCTGTTTTATCTGCTAATTATGTCCCTTTTTTCCCCCTGTTGTCCCTCAGAGCCAGACGCGGCGCTCTGAGCCGCGGAGAGAGTAGATTATGTTGAACAGTCTCTCCAAATCGGCTCCGGGCAGAGGGGTGATCGCTCACGGCCCCTGGGCTCGCTGATAACAAGAGACCCGCTTTCTCCCGCTCTCTCGCTTCCCCTCATCCCTTTATCGCTTTTGTAGCGCCCTTGTGTGAGGATTTGCATGTGGGATTACCTAACTTTAATTTAATTGTTCTCCTCTTCGCTTCACATCATCAGAGGTGCCATTTAAAGCCCTTTCGCTAAGACGAGAGGTGAGACGCCACCGAAAACTGAGCCGATTGTGTCGGGCTGCTCGCGCGGGATAACAGACGCTCCTCTTAGCTTTGTGTTGGAAAGTTGCAGACTCCGGAAATCACACTCAGGATAATCCCAACGTGTGCCTGTTGAGCTGGTTAGCTCCAGTTTGTGATGTGCAGCACTATACAGTGATCAACTAGTCAGTCTTGAGGAAAACCTCTATAATTAATGGCCAGAGACATACACTATACACTAGGGTTAAACAGAATTAACAAAATATAAACAGAATTGAGTATTAAAGCGTCAACTATCTATCTATCTATCTGTCTGTCTGTCTGTCTGTCTGTCCGTCTATCTGTCTGTCTGTCTGTCTGTCTGTCCGTCTATCTGTCTGTCTGTCTATTTGTCTGTCTGTCTGTCTGTCCGTCCGTCCGTCTATCCATCCATCATTCTATCTATCTATCTATCTATCTATCTGTCTATCTATCTATCTATCCATCCATCCATCCATCCATCCATCGTTCTATCATTCTATCTATTTATCTATCTATCCATAGTTCTATAGTTCTATCTATCATACTATCATTCTATCATTCGTTCTATCATTCGTTCTATCGTTCTATCTATAAATAAGATGGATACTAAATACTATAAATACTGAAGCAATGCGTCATTGAAATGGTCTGCAAACATCTTTTTTGAAAAGTTTGCAGTATTGATGTGATTGATGGTTGTACTGTATCCACAGATGGTTTCTACTCTCTCTTGATGTGTTTTTAGCCCGTCCCAGCGGTATAAAGCGTGATGAATTAGTGCAGCATCTACCTGAAACCTCTGTTTTTGAGCTACAGGGAATACTAGAACTCCTCCAGATGCACAGCGAAGTACAGATATGGAAATCCACACGGCTTAGTTTAGGAATAGTAGTGTAAATAGACTAAAAGAAAGTAAACACAATGAAATGCAAGTGGATGTTGTTGTCAGTCTCTGTTATTATTTCTTTATTTAGCTGCTTCCCACGAGACGCCAGACAGACACGTCAAAGCTTCTGTTTCACATGGCAAAGCCTCTCGACAGAAGAGAGGGAAGCGATGAAGAGAAAGAGAAAAGCGTCGAGAGGAAGGAAAGATAGGCACCCAGAGGCTCATCATTAAACCCTCCTCTCCGCGGCGGGCTGCATAAGCACTTCTGCGCTCTTGTTTATCATGCCCGTGTCTGCTGTTAACTAGATTCACATACACACTCACTTCCGTCCCCAAGCCAAAGAGTTTCTCGCCATTCCGATTTATGCAACTTGTAAAAGTGTCAGGCTGAATGCAATTACGCGATATGAATGTGTTACCACAAACCCAGAGGAGTGTTTGTAGCCCACGGCAGAGGACTTTCACGCCTGTCGGCTACATGAGAAGAGGGAATTAAACCTGTCGGAAATCACTCAGTGTTCCTGAAGTGTCTTTTTACAATTAGGAGATTCATTCATGCTGAATTTGGATAGATTTTCGATAGATTTCGATAGATACTGTAGATCGAAAGAAATACAGTATAGCTGATAAGTATATCTTAAAAATGTCTTTGATTTCAAATAAATGCTGTTCTTTTGAACTTGCTATTCATCAAATGTGACCCTGGATCACAAAACCAGTCATAATGGTCAATTTTTCGAAATAGCTGAATAAATAAGCTCTCCATTCATGTATGGTTTGTTAGGATAGGACAGGGGTAGGCAAGTTCAGTCCTAGAGAGCCGCAGTCCTGCAGAGTTCAGCTCCAACCCTAATCAAACACACCTGAACAAGCTAATCAATGTCTTCAGGATTACTAAGGCTATTAATATCCTAATGATTTTTGGCATAAAAGAAAAATCAATCATTTTGACCCATACAATGTATGCTATTGCTACAAATATACCCCAGAGACTTAAAACAAATAATAAAGTCACAAATTATCTTGAAGCAAAAAAACCATAGTTTTAGACATTTAAAAAAAACAGCCTAGTCATGCAAGATTTGGTCAGAAACTGTCTAAATTTGTCTGATTTACCAACAAAAACTGTTTAATCTTTACAGATTTAGCAAAAAACAGTCCAGTTTTGTCCAGTTCGGCGACATTGTCTGTTTTTTAGCTGAGTTGGTCAGAAAATTTCTAATCTTGTCTGTTTTAATCTTGTCAGATTTAGTTTTTTTCCCCCCAGTTTGCTCAGAAAATGTATTTTGTCTGATTTACCAATACAAACCTGTTTAATCTTGTCAGATTTAGCTAAAAACAGTCCCGTTTTGTCCAATTCGGTGGCATTGTCTAATTTTGTCCAATTCATCATAAAAAACTGTTTAATATTGTCAGATTTAGCAAAAAACTGCCCAGTTTTGTCCGATTTTTTGAGAAACTGTCTAATTTTGTCCAATTCATCATAAAAAAAGGTTTAATAATGTCAGATTTAGCAAAAAACTGCCCAGTTTTGGCCAGTTTGCTAAAACAATTTCAGATTTTGTCTGATTTACCAGCAAAAACTGTTTAATCTTGATGTTTAGCCAAAAAACAGCCTAGTGAGAAACTGTCTAATTTTGTCCAATTTGCCATCAAAAAACTGTTTAAGATGGTCAGATTTAGCAAAAAAAAAAACAGCTACGTTTTGTACGATTTGCTCAGAAAATGCCTTATTTTGTCTGATTTACCAATGTGCTGATGAATCATAATCAATAATACAGCAATGTATAAAACATTTTATAAAACTGATAGTTGCTGATTGGTCAACACAGTGTTCCAGCTGTTATGAAATGCAGGGCATGATATGAAAGCGCTTATGACAGTACACATTTGCGCAGCCGAGATGAAACATGCTGAATTGGCTATCAAACACACCCAGAAGGACAGTAAGAAATACACTCCACAGAAAAACGAGGGAAGGGCAGATAAAAACGGATCTTTGGAGGTCCCGCGGGGCAGTGGGTTACACTCGACTGTGGCCCGTCGTGATTTATGACAGCGTGTGCGTTTCTCTCTTTAACTGTGTCTCCTTCCTCCGCCGGAGGTCACCTCTGCACATATGGTGCGTTCGTACATCTTACCGCATAGTAACACGTGGGTTTGTTTTACGGATAAGCATTTCTAAGGTGAATATTTTACCGAGTAACTTCCACAAGAAGGTCTGTTTTGAGTGTGCGGCGACGACACACACATGAATAATCACCTCAGCTTGTGCAGACAAAAGCTGTTTCACTGAACACGCCGTGTTAGCTTTACAGTCGTTTGTTCTGCGCTTGTACAGTAAACGAGCTCGTGTTTAACCTGCTCAATTACATTTTCTTTTTCATTTTTGTGATGTGTAAATGAACTGAATACAAGTTCAGTCGACAAATGACAACTGAATGAGCTCTTGCCAATGCTAGTAACTTTAGTGACACGAGGTGCTGCATATAAAATTAGCATATGCAATTAGTGAGAAAATGGACCCGATTTTGTCAGATTTAGCATTAAAATGGTCTGATTTTGTCTTATTAGTTTTGTTGTTCTGAGAAAATTTAGAGTGTTTTAATATCTAAAAGACTGACAAAATTTGTTTTGTCTGTAAAACCTGATTTAGTCTTATGTAGTCTTGTCAAATTTAGACAAAAAACAGCCTTGTTATGGCAGATTTTGTCAGAATCTGTCTAATTTTGTCTGATTTACCAACAACAGTGGTTTAATTTCGTCCGATTTAGCCAAAAACAGACCAGTTTTTGTTCAATATGGTGAGACACTGCATAATTTTGTCCAATTTACCATCAAAAGCTGTTCAATGTTGTCAAATTTAGCAAAAAAAAGGCCAGTTTTTGTCTGATTTGGTGAGGAACTGTCTAATTTTGTCCAATTTACCAACAACTGTTTGATATGGTCAGATTTGCTCAGAAAATTTCTAATTTTGTCTGATTTAACAACAAAGAACTGTTCAATATTGTCAGATTAAGCAAGAAACAGCTCAGTTTTGTCCAATTGGCTCAGAAACCGTCTAATTGTGTCCAAATGACCAACAAAGAATGGTTTAATTATGTTAGACTTAGCAAAAAAAAACTGCCTAGTTTTGTCTGATTTGGTGAGAACCAAACAAAAACCTCTCATTTTATGAGATTTAATGTATGTAACACAGTTCGTAGTCACGGGAAGAAGGAGGCGGGAACCGGCGAACGTTTAAAGACTTTAATCAAATAAACAAACACAAAATGAAAGTAAAGCGGCAGCCCCTCGCGGACGACTGCCGCACACAAAATAAAATCCAGGCCTGGTCCTCTCTGGACTCGAGACCGGTGAGTGGTGCAGGTGTCGTGCATTAGCATGTACTCCACCGGCCTCGCTCTGTTCCCACGGCTCTCGGCTCCGCCCCTCTCGTCACAATGTAATTTCTTAAAAAAAAAAACATCCAACATAGTTTTTTAAATATCTAAGTTTTGTGTATTCGATGATTAGTAAATGTAAAATTTGCATTAAGTGTGTATTTAGATTAGTATTAGTATTCAGAATACTGTACTAAATCTGAGGAGGTTTTTTTTTGTATGTTTCATGTCACATCTTTTCTAACTCTCGCTCTCATTACATTACTGTAGAATCCCTGGAGCCGACCTACCAGCAGCTGCAGAAGATGAAGCTGGACAAGAGTCCGATTGTGGTGGTGTCTGTGATTGGTCAGGAGCTGCTGACTGCCTCCCATCACGGTGCGTCTGTGGTGGTCCTGGAGGCGGCGCTGAAGATCGGAACCTGCAGCCTCAAGCTGCGCGGCTCTGTTTTCTCGGCCCTCAGCAGCTCTTACTGGTCATTGGGCAACACGGAGAAGAGCACCGCCTACATGCAACAAGACCTGGAGGTGGCCAAAACTTTAGGTGAGCGACTCTTTTGAGTCAGTGAAGACTTTTAACTTCTGCAACAGATTTTAGGTTTCTTGCAACATAATTTTGTTTTTATTGACCATATGCCATAGTTTGAATTAGCTATTATTTGTATATTTTCATTTTCATTTTAGTTTAAGTTTTAGTCATTTTGTTGTGGGCTTTTGTCATTTGCATTATTATAATTATTATTATCTTTAAAATATTTCTATTTAGTTTGAGTAATTTTAGTACTTCAACCTAATTTTTTTATATTTCCGTTAGTTGCCAAGGCAACATTTCTAATTTGTGTTTAAGCATTTTTAAATTTAAGTTTAATCTAATATTTATATTTTATCAATATTAATACTAATTATGTTATGCCACGATGCAAGAAATCAGGCCGTTGAGATTTGCAATATAGTATATATCCCCCTACAAAAGTATACTGTATGTATGCAAATAAAGTTGGACGTACTTACAGTATATATCCAACTTTATATAAGGAGCTGGGTGAAAATATAGTTACATTTTGTGAATAAATAAATAAATAAAAAACAGTCAATTGAGATTTACAATATAGTATATTTATTGATTTGGGGAAAAAACTGAAAAACAAAACAAACAAAAAACAGCCTAGTTATGCCAAATTTGATCAGAACAGAAACTGTCTATATTTTAATAAAAATATATATATATATGAAAATTTTAAAATGTATAAAAGTATAAAATGAAACAATTTAAAATATAAAATGTTCAAATTTATAATAAATTTATCACAAAAATATTTCTAATAGTTTATATTTTTAATATTTAATCTAATATTTACATTTTACAATTTTAAAATGTATAAAACAATATAAAATGAAAAAAATGTAAAATATTACATTTTTAAATATATTGCGTTTCATCTATTTCAATTAACATCTATTAACAATTTTAATAGTATATATTTTCATGTTTAATCTAATATTTATATTTTAGTAATATGAATACTATTAAAATTGTAAAACTTATAAAACAATATACAATTTAAAAAAGGATATTGTATTTCATCTTTATTTCAGTTAACAATTTTTAATCGTTTTAGTTAACAATAATAACACTGACTACGACCTTCAGAGTTAAACAGGCTGTTTTTGCTACTGTCCCTTTAAGATCTACCTCACTTTTGCTTCACAAACTTTAACATTTCTTCTTTTGTGTTCCACGAAAAAAGTCATACCGGTTGTACGATGAGTAAATTATGATTTTGTGGTTAACTGTTCCTTTGAAACGTTTTTAATTGGACTCATTTTGCATATTCCTGTGATCACGTTCTGTTCTTGAGAAATCAATGTACTTCTGTGGTCTGTTCCGAGAACGTACAGTGATGGACGTCCAGGTGACCTTGTGCACGAAAGGCCTCGGTACCTTCTCACAAAGTTAATTATTTTGACCCAACCGAGCACACGCTGATAAGGTCTCTCAGTAATTAGGCTTCATGGGACTTTTTTAATTAAAAGCCGCTGCAACTTTTGCCTAAAATGCCACTCGATTCGTTTTTGTGTTTTCGGCGCAGTGTTACGGTGGCCGAGAAGTGCAGAACAAATCACAATTCTGAAAACAAAAGAACAAATTACAAACGCAAATGCAAGTCTAAAAAACCAAATAACAATTCAGAAAACACAAAAACAATTCAGAAAACATTATAACAAGTCAGAAAACACAATGACAAATTCGAAAACAAAATAACAAGTCAGAAAACACAACGACAAATCCGAAAACAAATTAACAAGTCAGAAAACACAACGACAATTCAGACAAACCAGAAAAGGTAGGTATAGTTTGAGACAGCGCCATTGGTTTGGGATTACTCACCGCTGATTGGACGAGACATCTGTCAATCAACGTATACAGGGAGAACCAGCCGAAGAACAGCAGAGTCGTGGTAGAAAGTTCGGAGATGGTATTAAAGTAGCTCAGTTTAAATGTATTGTATGAATTGCCCTTACTCTGGAATAAAAAATACGGAGTGTATATTTACATTTAGTTAAAAGTGGCTGTAGAACATCAGCTCCAGTGGCGCAGATGGATAAGCGCTTGCCCTTGGCTTTTTGACGTGATCGACCCGGGTTCGATCCCGCCTTTTGCCGAGCTTTTTTTTCTTCCCTTTTCAAATCTCCCGCCTTTTGCCGAGCTTTTTTTTCCTCCCTTTTCAAATCTCGTATTAGCAATGGATTCTATTTACACTAAGTGAAAATGGCAGTATTTTTAGCAATATGCTATTTACACTAAGTGCAAATACCTATTTACACTATGTTAAAATAGCAGGATTTCTACGATCAAGTATACTACTTGTTGCAAATAGTGGCAATTATCTGCACTTCAGTATTGTAGTACATTATAAAACAGTATGCAATAATAACGTATCGAGTGTAAATTATAATTTTAATTTTAATTATTAAATGGATGCCACCTTATTGGTACAATAAAGCCCTCCCTACACCTACCCTAACCCTACCCGATACTTTATTTTCAACTTTTGGATTATTTCCTTAATTTTTATTGAAAATAAATGCCTTTACGATGTGATACGAGATTTGGAAAAGGGAGGAAAAAAAAGTTCGGCAAAAGGCGGGATCGAACCCGGGTCGATCGCGTCAAAAAGCCAAGGGCAAGCACTTATCCATCTGCGCCACTGGAGCTGATATTCTACAGTCACTTTTAACTAAATGTAAATATACACTCCGTATTTTTTATTCCAGCGTAAGGGCAATTCATACAATACATTTAAACTGAGCTACTTTAATACCATCTCCGAACTTTCTACCACGACTCTGCTGTTCTTCGGCTGGTTCTCCCTGTATACGTTGATTGACAGATGTCTCGTCCAATCAGCGGTGAGTAATCCCAAACCAATGGCACTATCTCAAACTATACCTACCTTTTCCGGTTTGTCTGAATTGTCGTTGTGTTTTCTGACTTGTTAATTTGCTTTCAGATTTGTCGTTGTGTTTTCTGACTTGTTATTTTGTTTTCGAATTTGTCATTGTGTTTTCTGACTTGTTATAATGTTTTCTGAATTGTTGTTGTGCTTTCTGAATTGTTATTTAGTTTTTTAGACTTGCATTCGCGTTTGTAATTTGTTATTTTGTTTTCAGAATTGCGATTTGTTTTGCACTTCTCGGCCACCATATTTTACTCCTATAATTTGCGCAGCGTCATGGGGCGTAGGAAAAAGGTGGATAACGGTTCTGTAATTCCAAATGAACAATATGCATTACACAATATCACACTATCCAATAGAATTCTTTCAGAATTGTGATTTGTTCTGCACTTCTCGGCCACCGTACAGTGTAAATATACATACATCTAACGCTGAGATCATAAACATTCTCCTCGCGGCTCCTGAATGTCAGAGGTTTACAGCTCGACTTTAAGGCATGAAAGCATTGTAGAGTTGACTGTTTCTCACCCTGTCTGTCTCACATGCGATGACGCACCTGAACTCTGAATGTTTGTGTTTGAGGTTCAGCTCGCACTTTTAACACATTAGTACACAGCTGACGTCTCGCTCAGCTCGGCTCGGGTCTTTTCTCTTGTCAGAGCGGCTGATTGCACTCACACACAGGATGAAGGTCTGATAAGAACAGCTGCAGATGTTGCAGGTGCTGCGACGCTCGAAGCGTGACTGCCATGATGTCATCGCTGTGCAATCTTGTTCATCCACTGATGAGTCGAGTCACATTGATTTATATAGAACTCTTCACAATGCTCATTGTTTCAAAGCAGCTTCACAGAAAATCATGATATTGATCTTTAGAATATCTTAATATCTTCATGCCTTATAGTTGCATTCAGCAGATTAGAGTTGGACAATAATATACATAATGTGACAATGCAAGCAGTTGAGATTTGTTGTACATAGTATATATCGCCTGTGAGTATACTGTATGTATGCAAATAAAGTTGGTCTAGTTGTGTGCCAGATTTTGTCTAAATCTGTGTAATTTTGTCCAATTTACCAACAGAATCAATTTTGTCACATTTCACAAAAAAAAACAAGTTATATCACATTTGGTCAGTAACTATCTAATTTTGGCCGATTTACCAACATAAACTGTCTAAATTTGTCAGATTTAGGGGGGTGGAAAAAGAGGCCAGTTTTGTCCAGCTTGGTCAGAAATGTTTAATCTTGTCAGATTAGCAAAAAAAAAAAAAAAACGGTCAAATTTTTTTTGTTTTTTAAAAAAAAATTTTTTTTTTTTTTAGGTCCACAGATACGTACTGTGTTTTTAATAAGGACTGACTGTAGCTGTGCCTAAAATTCATATACTGTAGTATTTTATGATATGTGTCTGAATTTTAGTGAACATTTTTTTCCCTATAGCCTCTAGTTCAGAGTTTTATACCCATAATTGATTTATGAACAAAAACTTTTTTTTTTTAAATCCCAGTTTAGTTTTGTAGTTTTATTAAAAAAAAAATTAATTAATTAATTAAAATGAATAAAAAAATAAAATAAAATTAAATACTTATATCAGATTTGGCCAGAAATGGTCTAATTTTGGCCAATTTACCAACAGGAACAGTCTAATTTTGTCAGAAAAAAAAAAAAAAAAAATATAAATATATTTAGATGTATTTACACTATGCTGTTTTTAACTAAAAACAGAAAACTTTTTTTATGCATTTTGGAAGTTTATTTACACAACACGTTTTGGGAACCTGAAAATGCAAATTTTGGAAAACAGGTTTCAGAGTGCACGTTTTTGAAAACTATAGCGTTATTGTCTCTGTGTAAACCACAAAAATTTGACAATCAATCAATTCATAAATATATATATATTTATGAATTGATTGATTGATTCTGTTCATTTAATTGCTTAATTTATTTGTTTTTCTTTTACATTTATTTATTTGTTTTTGGACAATTAGGCAGAAATTTGTAATAATATTTAATAATGAATAAACAGGTCATAAACTGAAAAAGAAAAAAGATGTAGACTGTACTTTGAAACAATTTTTTATGCATAAATTGATAGTAAATTTCACAAATAATTCAAAGTAGAAAGACTGAAATAATCTTGTAAAATGTTCTCTAATGATCTTTGCTTTATTTACCACTTTGAACAATTTCGTACTAATTTTTACAGTGCACTAGCTGGTTTTTGGAACTCAGTATCTGGTTTCTTGCTAGTCTAAGGTGGTGTGCCAGTTTAGGTTGACCTCCATCAGCTGGTAAAGCAGACTGAACCAACTTTGACCAGTTAGAAACAGTCCTTAAGATGATGTTCCTGCAATTCCTGAAGGCTGTGAACACATGTTCTTCAGATTCATGTTGGTGTGTGTTTGGAAACCTTCTAACCCAGATCTGGTTTCCTTCAGGTGACCAGACAGGCGAATGTCGCGCTCACGGGAACCTGGGGTCGGCCTTCTTCTCCAAGGGGAATTACCGCGAGGCACTGAGCAACCACAGACACCAGCTCGTCCTGGCCATGAAACTCAAGGACAGAGAGGTAATCGCCAACTAACCGACCCGCGCATGTGTGTGTGTTGCCGTATCTTCACCTCAAACAGAAATAAAGTGTGCGGGATTGCTTTATCAGAGGCGCAGGACTCATGTTGCGAAGTGACAAATGTTTGAGTCAGAGCTGCAGGGCAGACTCACCAGTCTCTGTCACGTTTGTGGACTCTCGGCGTCTCTGTTCTGTCTCCTTTCAGCTCGCCGTCTATCCGTTCTGATGCACTGTTGAGAAAACACCCCCAAATGTCCGACCTGGGTTAACCTCATGAAAATGTGTCTGGGTCATACTTCTAAAATCAAAAGAAAAAATGGAATAATATTTAAATTAAGTAAAATATTTTGCGAAAAGACAATGAAGCTTAATTTTAGAACATTTATTTATTTATTTATTTATTTATACATACATACATACATGCATGCATTGTTACATTTAATTTAACTGGTTGCTTTTAATTTCATTTGTATGACATTTAAGCACATTTCCCCCAAAACAATGAATCTGGATGTTTTAAAGTTTTAAAATTTCATAATTTATTAAAAATAAATTATTTAATATGAAGAATAATATAATATATTAAAATATAAAAAATCAGTAAAATATAGATGTTACATAATACAAATAAATAAAAAAAAAGAGTCATTTAAAAAAAAGAATAATATATATTTTTTTTTTTTTAAATTACAATGTTTTTTAACTTTATTTTTATCGCATTCCCCCATTACAATGAATCTGGAACTTTTGATATATATACATATATATATATAAAGAGTTTTAATATCAATTATTCTCGGTGATGATGATCTCATTGCAATAATTTGTAAAATTTAATAATGAATATTAAAAACAAATTCTAAAACAATTCAGAAAATGAAGAAAAATATAATTAAATAAAATATAATACAATTACCATTACAGTAAAAATAATTATATTTTTTGGGAATTAAAATTTTTGGGGGAAATAATAGTAATGTTAAATAATAAAAATAAATATTTTTTTATTATTTTAATATTACATTAATGCAAATTGTGATTAAAATCAGCTCAATTAAGATGAAACTAATGCAAAAATAGTAATGGTCCTAAAAATAGACTTCATTTTCTTTATGCCATACATATTTTTTTCTTTTTATCTTAAAATGAAATATGAGCCAGTGATATTCTTGTCAGGTTTGGTGAGATGCACATGCTGGCTGAGCTCTTATCAGCTCATGCCTCATCCGCCGGCTCTTCTCATCATCATCTGATTCATATGGCTCTATGAAATGTAGTGGATGAGGAAAATGATAGACTCTTCTTTTGTGTGTCCAGATTGTGTCCGTGTGTTTGCTCTGTGCACAGAAATAAAGCACTGCGTCCTCACATCTGTTCCTCTTCCTCCTCTCTTCATGACTCACTCCAGCCGTGGACCTGACCGTGATTCTGCAGCCATTAAAAGCAGAAATGGTGTTTGCAACACGCTCAGCAGTGTTATGTGACTTTGGAATATTTAGTGCAAAATAATGTAGGACTGGATTTTATCCATCGGAATTTGATTGGGTTGTGAAAAGTAGGTTAGGATATTACTGATTAATATTAATATGTAATAATATGTATAATAATAATAATAATACATTTGTCATTTACATTAGTCACAATAATGATTCTAATTTAATTTTTTTATTAATTAACTTAATTAATTTATAAAAAATATGTTTTTTATAAAAGTCAATAGTGAATAATAACACAAATAAATTATATGAGTAAAATAATAGAAATAAATAGAATACAATTTTCTTTCGCATTACAGTAAAAAGAATCATATTTTTTAAATTAAATTACAGCAGTTTATTTGGAGGAAATTGTGCATAATTATATATTAAATAACACAAATAAATGAAAACATTGTATAATTTAAACAATTTTCTCTTATTTCAGTAGAAACTGATTTTTTTTAATTTTCTTTTGTATTACAGTACTGCAAATTGGGATAAAAAAAGTGTGCTCAATTGTCATAAAAATAATGTTGAAAAAATATTAATGGTCCTAAAAATAGACTTAATTTTCATTATGCTATATATACGTTTAGTTTTATTTAGTTAGTTAGTTAGTAGTTTCCTTTATTCTCAATGATGATTTCATATCTCTGTGCAAATGCAAATGCTTCTCCGGCCCAAACTTGTCTCCATCTTTTTTGACCAGTGACGTTCCATGATTTTTCATGACTTTTCTAGTTATTCATGAATTTTTACCTGAAGAAATACTGAATATATCTTGTGAAATTTGAATTGACTAAAGGTGATTTTGATGACATTTCCGTGACCTTAAAGATTTTCTTAACCTCTGTGACTTTTCCATGAATGGGTGTCACAATTTCCCTGATATTCCCAGGTTTTTCAGGACTGTGGGAACCGTGTTGATTTTAATGCATGGATGCGTTTTGAACTTTACCTGTGATTTGTAATGCAACACAAATACTGTTGTATCCTCACAACAATGCAGACGAGCGTTATAACGGGTATTAGCATGAACGGAGCAGGTCAGTTCAAGTTAGTTAAACCGCTGACATGTTTATATCAAGCTTGATCTGATTTAATTGCACAATATTCTGATGTTTGATATTAAAAGTTAAATGTACAGCATGCTCTCAATATGTCTAAATATTTATAATTAGCATCTTTGAGGAGTGTTAGATTAGTTCCAAACAAAGCATTTTCATATAATGGCCATACGGTCGCACGCTTGAGCAGTTTGTGGTTAGATCCGTGGGATGTGTGTGTGTTGTGTCTCTCAGGTCATCTCATGAGCTTCAGGGAACTGAAGTATGAACAGGTACAGCAGATGTGTGTCTGCTGCCATATTGCAGTGTGTTTGAGCATGCGTGCATGTAGGAAATGTGTTGTGATGGATCATCTGCTGTAAGTGTGTGTGTGTGTGTGTGAGTCAGCGGTGATGGATTTGGTAGAAGACGTTCTGGCTCCCCCTCTTAAATCTGTTGTCTAATGGTTTGATCTGTACTGCAGTAAACACTCATGACCCATCACACTAATTACTCCAGATCCCAACTAATCAGAACATCCACACACAAACCCTACCTAATCTCATCCAGGCTTTCAAGATCATTCTGTCTTAGAACACATCACAACTCAAAATGATCTATCTATCTATCTATCTATCTATCTAAACAAAATGTATATAACTAATGATTATTATTAATTTGAAATAATTATATTAAATTCTAAATAATATTTTTAAATTCTAAAGTTAGTATATACATGCTTTGTATTTATATATATTAAATATTTTTAAATGTATATTTTTTACTATTAATAATAATACATTAAATTAATAAAATAATTATAAAAGTATTATGAATATGCAAATATTCATATATTCAGAACAAACTCAGCTTGATAATGTCAGATAACTTTGATAGAAAAGTATGTAATGGATTACAATCAACCAAAAATAATTCAGACAGCTGTTAGTATGACAGTATTTACACAACTATCAATACTTAGTCGGGCAGCCCTTAGCCTTAATGACAGCCTGTAGTCTCCTGGGCATGCTGTCATCCAGCTTCATGCAAACCTCAACTTCAGTTTTTTCCCAAACTCGGTCTGAATAATTTTAGGTCCCAAATTTGTATCAGTTTTACTGGTAGTCCACTGTATGAAGAATTTTGGGTATAATTTGTCACAGTTTATTTTATTTTGCTATCCTCACTTACATAAATTAACTATAGTGTCCTGCACCCACTAGTAAAAAAAATATCAAAAATTATATCTGGTCTCTGAATAATTTTTGGTTTGACTGTATATCCTTCCGGTGTTTCTTTGTCTGAATACGGCACTTATCGCATGCTGTGTGGTATCGGCGTTTGGTATCGGGGCATTTTAACGAGTACGAGTACGAGTACAGGAGCTCACTATCGGGCCCGTGCATCCCTAGTGATATTACATTCACTATAATTTTCTTGTTTCTCACATTAACACTCTATATCAAGGTCTGAGATGTTTTTTGAAAGGAAAATGTTGAAGGACATTTGGTGTGGAGCATTTGTGCTACAGCTTTTATTCTATCCTAATATTCCCATTAGTACGTGGAGTGTCTCTGTGTCAGTATTGAGTGAAAAACATCAGTGCATCATTAAAAGCAACAGAAGAGTGTTAAATTCAGTCGTTAATATAGACGGAGGACTTTCAGAGGCTTATAATCTATATCAGTAAAGCATTAGGAATGAATAGAGCTGCTGAAAGTGAAGGTATATCAGTGTATGTGAGAGACTGCTAGAGAAACATTCCCCAAGTGTTCGCTCCATTACCCTGGAATCCAAACCAATGAGCTCATGATATTACATAGATACATTTTTTCTCGCCTTGCCTCAGGAAATCTTTTTTCAGTTTGCAGTAGTCTAACAGTGGACTAATGAAGCAGCACAGCTGTTTTCAACATTGATAATAATCAGAAATGTTTCTTGAGCAGTAAATCAGCATATTAGAATGATTTCTGAAGGATCATGTGACACTGAAGACTGGAGTAATGATGCTGAAAATTCAGCTTTGCAGCACTGGAATAAATTACATTTTAACAGATATTCACATAGAAAACAGTTATTTTAAATTATAATAATATTTCACAATTTTACTGTTTTTACTTTATTTTTTAATCAAATAAAGCAGCCTGGGTGGGCAAAAACATAAAAAAAAAAACAGAAATAAATGACTTTTTAAAATATATTCATATAGAAAACAGCCGTTTTAAATTGTAATAATATTTCATCCTAGACTTGCTGCATATGAAATCAGTGCTGGATTTATTGTGTAAACGCTGAATGCAGCGCGCAGCACAAACACGTGTCGCACATTAAAACAGTAGATTCAGAGAGCAGCTGGTAAGACATTATGATTAATGACAGAACTCATGTTCTACTCAATGATTCATCTCTGTTGTGTCAAGATTTAAAGTAAATATAAAAGTGCACAGAATATAATTCAAACCCAGCTCTTTTTCTT